CGAGAAGTAAGTGGTCTTGGGAAGATAGTCATAGGTTCTACATACCTGTCCCTCGTGAACCAGGCTTGGAAACTTTTGGTTTATGCGAGAGATCAAAGTGCCGTCGCCTTGGGTTGGGCCCTAAGTGCCGTTTCTGGGATTGAAGTGCTTAACACTACGTGTTATGGGGCAAAAATCTAAAGTTTTACTGATAATATGGGAGAGGCATAAGCCAGAATTCTCATCTGACGCTGAGTTGTCCGAGTTTTGTTTATAATACCCATTCGCTAAGTCCTTTGCTGTTGTCCTTTACGTATATGGACCGTCTAAAAGCCCGACCTTGATGACTGTTAGTTATCGGAGCCGGTTAGTAAACAAACCGTCTTACTCAGTGGACTTTCGGATGTAATATTATGAAGGAAATGATAAAAATGCTAAATAGCCACTTTCATCCATCTTGCCCGTCCAGTATCGTCATTTCCACAAGGTAGTCTTGCAGACTGCATGCTGACACAACTGTTGTCTGAATGCACCACGCTTGCGGTTATTATGATCCACCAGCTGTCCCCTAAATGCTTTCTCTCTCTCTCTCTCTCCCTCTTACTCTTACTCCGTTGGTGACTGTAGGGAGGTTTATCAATCCCGTGAGTTTCAGTGGTGTGTCAGCTTTTGGCGAGGAAATGGTAATTTGGACATGCATTTCGCAAAGCAGTTCTGCGGCATCAGGTAGTCAGGACTTCAAGTTCAGGTGGTCGCAACCCAGGGAAGGGTCGGTGCTAACGTCTTTAAAGTGTACAGGACCAGATGAAACACAGGCGAATGCTAATAATCTCCAACAGATGCCTACCAGGGCTTTCTTCCACCCGCCTTCTGTTGTCTGTCCCAGAAAATCTGGCCTTTATGTCATAGGTTGCAGTGTCTGAGCCTCCAACTAATTAAAGAAAATGTCGCTGCGTGTTGGAGAGGTTGGCAGAGCGGTGGCGCGAGACCGCGGAGCAGGTGAGTGCATCCCTCATTCACACACCATCACCGCCACCACCACCGCCACTAACCACTCTCCCACGTTAGTTTCTTTCCCAATTGGGGAGGGGAGGGGGGGGGGTGAAATCAGGGGGTGGATGGCGTAGGAGGTAGTTCGGCGTGGATGACAGTTTCTCGCGGAACGAAGAGCGCGCAGCGCACGCGCGCCCACATATTTTTCGTCGAACCCCAGCGTCGAGGTCGCGGTCCACTGAGTCCATTCAATCTGTCACAGATTGGATTTCCCTGCCTTCAAGGTGGCAGCCCCCGACGCGTCGCGCACTCGTGGCCACGCCGCCGTTTATGGTGGTAGGCTTTGATCCAGGCGCAGGGGCGTGATGGAGCGGCGGGAGGGGGTGGGGGCCAGAACTGAAAAGGCATCTGAATAATTGTGGGTCGCCTTGAATGAACGATTCAGCCGGTCGTCTCATAAAGCAGAAATTAGCATAAAGAATCTCCCTAATAAGTGCTGCGTTGGCAAAGTCATGACTTTGAGCTGCTGCACGGCTCTCAGGTGAAAACAATGAATGCGCGGGGCGTGCAACAACGCCGTTGGGTTATTTCCAGTCTGACTAGGCAATTCTTGCAAATCTTCTATCTGACCTATAAAGGGGCAACTATCGGTTGAAGGACCCCAAGCACATGACCAGCCAAACGAGCCTGGCTTATGAGAAAGGTGGTGATACGGGTTTTGCTGGCGGGGCCTAGATATACATAGAGGATCGGCATAATAAGTATAGATAGTTGGTAAATGCGTTTTTCGGGTGGAAAAGTCTTGATGTATTGACATATAGCAACCGAAATTAAGCAGGACAATTGAAAAAAAACAAACACAAAGCATCTACAACGATCGCTTTTCAACTCCCTGAGCTGAGTTCATTGTAGATAATGCACCAGGTCGTCTACAGCAGACGACCTAACCTTGTACGATGAAATACCAAACCGAAATAACCGTGCCGGACTAAACACCCACTTAAATAAGTATAGTAGGTATTCTTTGTATGTCACAGACGCTTGGGGGCCTTCACCCAATCCTTACCTATTAAGGACACAAGCTCCGTTAGTTAGCCAGTCAGTTCTTACGTACACTAAACTACCGTTTTGAGTAAATCTGCCGGATTTAAGGAAGAACGTATACTACAGTAAATAGTTAATTTAGATGTCAAACCCTAATGTACCATGTTCCAGACACTATCGATATTTTGCTTGGTTTTTGTGCGATACCTTGATGGCGAGGCCTTCATCCCCACAAACAGCATATATAGAAAAGCGGTGACCTTTAAAATAAGTTTGCATCTGCCACGTTAACTCATCTTCTTATGTCCCCTCAGCTATAGCGGAGCATTTGGAATTTATGTAATTCTTAGCGCATATGACACGAATTCCGTGGCATTTCCCGATACCCCGATAACGGCATGGAAAGTGCATCGCTGATGTGAGAGGTGAAACCACGTAATTTGATTAAGCCAATTGACGCACTACTGCTAAAACTGCATTCTCATCGTCATAATCAGGGGGGGGGTCATGCATTTTACTGCATTAATATCTGCAGGCAAATTCGAACATCTTTTTCGAGTTTGTCCACATTTCGAGGCAATGCAAGAAGGAGAAAATCGATCAGTTCAAGGCCGATCAACTCCGCAGACAATTAGCAGTTTGTTCTACTTGGTAAATTTCCCGGTCAGGTTTGGTCCTGCAGCCCCGCGGGCGGTACGGAAACCCTAGACGTCTGTAATGCGGGAATGGTGGTTATAGAGGTCTTATGAGTGGGCCTTAGGACAAGCCAAGGGAAAGGCGGAGGTGCAAGAAAGCAAAGGGAGTCATATTCGAACAAACGAAAGTAGTTTAAAAGGGGTGAAATTTGAATGCGTAATATAAAAATTAAAATATGTTTGCAGAACAGTTTGCGGAAACTGCTGGTGTGCACGCACTATGAAGAAGCGTGATGGGAGAGCTGCCAACCGGCGGGAGGCAAGAACACATTGCCAGGGTCGCTCCGCAAAATGTTTCAAGAAAAATGAGTGATCGAGACAAGGGAGCAAAACAAAGCGGATAAATGGCCACGGGAAGCAGTTACGCAATTAAGGTGTCATAAGTATGTCGTGAAAATTTTAATTTAAAAGAAGGATACCCAAAACGAAGTAGTAGCCCATGAAACCATGAGGTCAGTTATTGAACGGTTCTTAAATAAGCGCAGTAGAAAAACTCAGTAGGACGTGAACTGGTCACACTCCACGAAAGTTTGGAATGGATTCATCTGAGTGATTTGGATTTCGATAAAGAAATCGTTTTTACTTTAGACCTTCTATTTTTAGAACAGACCGAGATACTGATGTGGGCTGGGGCGGAATTCGACAAAAGCAGACTGACATTAACGTCTTACCAGTGCCGTTGACGCAAGTAGCCTAGCTACATGCTGGATTAGGAAGGAAAGTGACCGTGTGGTCAACTGCAAGCTAGGTCAGCGTACACTTCGTCTCAACAGTGTCGCTGACGCTATTTCAACACAATCCAGCGTACTCAAAATAGTTCAGTAGGTCGACCGTATGACACTCGTTAAGTGAGGCTGCAGGACCAAGCCTTACCTCTCCGAGCCGCTAGCAATTCCATAAAGCTGGTCAGGTAGACACTTTCTTGTAAATAGAAGCGAAGAGACGAGTCCCAGGAAGCAGTCCTATAGAAGGAGACACGATCGCTGGGACAAGAGCTGGCGTTTCGGATTCCTGCTCACACCCATCATGAGACAAAAGCAGGTAAGGGGGGTTCATGCACAAGGGGCTGCAGTATTTATATGTAGCCGTCATGCTACCGCATACCTATGAATGTTCACGGCTCATCATCAGGGGTCGTTGCACTTGATGTGCTGACAGTTTGATGGCCGACATTCACGACGTTAATTGCTGTAATCTCATCACGTGCGTTGGATGTTGGTGTGATGATTACTCGACCACCTGACCCGCCGACCTTAGCGTTGGGAAATGTGTTCACCTGTGCGCTCTCCACGTGGCTAATTACTCCGCCTGGGCGAAGTCTCAGCATTGAGTATGGAATGGGAAGGTCGTTGCACTTGTTGATGGACTGGGGGCCAGTGAAGCATGACCCGAGCTGCTCCCCGCTCACGCGGTCGTCACCTCTGGCGAGAATTTCGGCCTCGTCGAATTTGAATGTGTGGCCGGATCTCGTCGAATGAGCAGCAACTTGAGAGCTGACGTCATTTCTCCCCACGGCTGCAGCCTGTTCGGCCACTCGCGTTTAGAGCAGTCTTCCTGTTCTCCGACGTAGTTGCTTTGTCCGCAACTGCACCAGATCCGATAAACGACTCCAGACGTTTCTTGCCGTGGCAGTGGGTCTTTCTGTTTCATCGCCTGACGCCTGATGGTTGCCTCCGGTCTGTGTGCAACGCCAAACCCAAGTGGTGCGAGAAGGCGGCCGACGGCTTCCGAAACGTTTTTGACATACGGAAGCGCTCGCCAAAATTTGGTGTCCGTGAGGTTAGGCCTTTCGTCCCCTTTTACGTATGCACCTGTTGACAAAGTTGCGCGGGTAGCCATTGGCTTTGAAGACCCGTCGGAGGTATTGTAGTTCGGCAATCTTGTCTTCCGGCTCACTGTAGTGCGTTTCTGCACGCCGATTGAGCGTACTTACACAAATGCGTTTGTGGCTGAGTGGGTCATTGCTGTTGAAGTTCAGAACTTGCATCGTATTTGTCGCTTTCCTGAACACTTTGGTCTTTAGGCCACCACAATCTTTGCGACAGACAAGGACATCAAGGAATGCCAGCTGGTTATTTTTTCCTCCATCGTAAACTGTTTGTCTGGGAAGACCGCATTCAGATGTTCCTTGAATGTCAGTAACTGATCCCGGTCGATAACGACGAAGGCATCATCCACATACCGTGCCCAGTATTTCGGTTTGTGGGTGTTGGAAGACCAGCGACTCTAATCGTTGCAGGATCCTCTCGACGATGAATCCTGAAATCGGCGAACCCATTGGTGTGCCCTTCACCTGTTCGTAGATTGTCCGTCGAACGTGAAGTACGTCCTGAGACAGAACTTCAGGAGCTGAAGGACTTGGGCGTGTCCCAGACGATTCTCCGTTTCATCGTATTTGCTTTGTAGGCGCAGCTCGATTGTCTCGATCGCCTGGTCCTGGGGAATAGAAGTAAAAAGGGGACGTAAGATCCAAAGATACCATGGCCTCAGTGGGATGGAGGCTTACTCCTTTGAGTTTCTTCAGGAATTGTGCTGACGAAGAGACCGTGGCGTCTGACTCAGCGGTCAGGAACTTGAGACGCCCGAACAGCCACTTACCCAGTCCGTACGTTGGAGTACCTTTGAGCGGCACGATGGGTCGGAGAGGAGCGCCGTCCTTGTAAACCTTAGGAAGGCCATAGAATGGGGTCGAAGCCGTATCTTGTGGTCTTGCCATGCGTCTGTCCGTCAGCGTTATGGCACCTGCTTTTCTCTCAGATGATGGACTTGAACAGGAATCCGAAACATCAGGCTAATAAAGCTCTTGTTCCAGCGATCGTGTCTCCTTCTTCAAAACTTTCTTGTACTCAGATGACCGCCCGAAGTGTCAACTTTGTCAACTTGAATTTGGGAACTAAATGCGCTCTTAACGGTTTAGTTTGGGGTAATATCTACAAGAAATTGAACTTGACCCGATTATGCATTACAATGACCTTTATTTTGCAAAAACCAAGACTGTTGAATGTAATGGAAATAAAAGGTATTATTCAAGTAAGCCTTAAAATTTTTAGCAGAATGAGCAATCTCCATGTCGAGTTTAGTTACCATGATATTCTTTGATAGATCATTGTGTTCGGCACCTGCCGGGACAGAACTGAAAAACGTACAAATCCTGAGTTCAAAGACAGGGGGTTAGATGGGACAAAAACCAAAGTACGCTAGGTTCGAAGTCGACAGAAGCAAGCAAATGTAGATGTAGGCTCCTTCTGTTTCTTATACAAATCAAAAATAATCTGCGCACCAAGAGGTCCAAGTAGGACTCTAATTTGGATTTTTAGGACCATCTGTGACAGCGGAAGAGGGGGGAGGGGTACTTACAAAAATAACCAAAAAGCAACAATAGGCTTATTTTTAGCATTGATAGTAAAAATTCAATTTGCGTGTAATAAGGCGGGCGAACTGGGTGTGTAATAGGATGAGTTTGCAGTAGGCATTCTCTGTATGCCGCAGGTGCTTGGGGATCTTCACCCGATCCTTACAGAACGTAGTCCATAATTGTTTTGTGGTTCGATATATAGTTGTCCTGAAAGCCTAGAATAGGGCGTTTGTCGGTTGGGAATGTGTGAAGAAAGTCGCTGTGGTACGCCAGCTTCCATGGAAGTCGATTTCAACTGCCTTCCGTCAGTTGATTAGGGCAAAACGGCCGGCCACGTACGTTTCTTGAGAGAAGCAGGGACTCTAGAGGCATAGCGCTGAAATAGTCAGCCGGCTATCGGAGTGTTTTGTACATAGCAGGTGTGTCATAGATGGTGACTAGAGTTCATGCGCCAGTCGGCAGAACAGTCGACCTAAGATATGGCTTTCCAGTTCGCCTCTAGGTGATGGGATCGAAAGGTTGAATTCCGAACGGGGAGAGAAACCGACAGCCGGTGATAGACAAGGATGCACGAGACACATCTGACGATGGATAATCTAGATCAAAAGTCACAGGTGACACCCAAGGATCTCCGGACTGTCCACAAATCAAATATTTACGCGACCGAACTCTTAGGCAGGTGTGAGCACCACTCGACAAGACAGCTGTAAGGGACGTGGTTTTTTAATGACCACTCACTTGACTTTCCCATCGATCTACTCGATGTAGACATGGCTTTTAATTCCCTACTGAAAAGAGTACAATTGACTTGTTAAGGTGGATGGACGACAGACACAGACGAGAATACCCAGTCCACAGCCAGTAGTGGTAGCGAGCTAGAAAAATGAAGGCGGGTTCCTCAACCAGGTGCCCTTTAATGCGTCCACTACATTGAATTTACTAGTCTCTGATCATGGAGAATCTAAGACGCCGTGTGAATGGTTAGACACGCAACGATATTACCCGTAAGCGCTGTCTCTTCTTACCGATTTATATTGTAGACTGTAGTTGTGAATCAAACGGAAGAATGTTTAGGCAAGGCCGCCTCTTTAGTTGAAAGTAGAATCTGGGATGAAAAGATATATTTTGTCCACTGACACTCTTTAAGCCACATATGGACACATTTTATTGCGGCCGTTTGAAAGAAATGCACTTGAATTTGTTCAAGCTACGTGTGGAATCTGATTCCGATGACTTTAAATGCGACATTATCTGAAGCAAAATATGCGATAGACGGTTCCCCTGCTTGAGGAGCTCAACGTCAATGGACGTTCGTTATGTAAATATAGTTCATTTGCCGCCACTGCGGATTAGCAGCTTCAAAAACTTAGTGGATGTCGGCTGAAGGGAGAGACAGCCTAATTGTCTTTCTATCAAGTGAAAATTTGAGCGGAACTTCAGGACTTTCTCATAATTTCACCACTTCAATCAGACAGCACTTAGGTGGGCAGTAGAAAATAGCAAGGAGTCCTGCCTACTACTCTAGGCTGTTACATGACCAGATTAAGTCGCCAACAGCTCGAGCATTACGACGGAGACAAATAAGAAGACGACTTAGGAACTGCGCAGAACTTCTAGTGTTCTTAGATGCGCTTTAAGTAGGCAAGTGTTTACTTTCATCAGCCCAATATAAATGCTGCATTTTCAAGGTCGTAGGGCCATACAGTATGCCCTGAGCAAGCATGATAAAAGTTGGGCGAAGTTGCTGAAGGGGTTCCGTGCACCTGCAATTTCTGAGGTACTAAGTTGGACTCAAAAAGGCGGTGGATGATGATTGGCACGTTTCGTTGGCTCTTGAGAACTCTATCTAGAATACTCTGCAGTCTAGACCGATATACTAGAATGTTCGTTTTGAATTGTGATTTCGTTGGAAATCGTATGATTTTTTAAGACAGATTAACTGGTTAAGATATCTTGGTCGTAAGTAGTTATATTACTTCTTTTTTAAAAAACTTAACCCGCCTTCCTTTCTTACTCGGATGATTCAGCAAGAGCCCTTCTCAGGCCCTCTTTGTAACTCTAGCGTTTAATTAACCAGATACATCCTCAAATCCAGGGTGCAAGAACGAGGGAACTGCAGCTATTCAAATAAAAAATGTGCATAAACATGTTTCCCAGTCTCAAGGTAAATATTTTCACCAAATACTTGATAACTTCACGGTATCAAGTCACGGAGTGATTTGTCTTATGTCATGATGATTGCCAGGCTGTGGCATTCGATCTCCATTGAAAAAATCGCGGATTCACACGTAAAACCAAAAAGCGATATTTCATGACTAATGTGAAAAAGTGAGTATGCCACTAAGTTCGAGTTAATGCTGATTAGCTTACCACGCTGCCGTGCATCTTTGGAAAAGTGACTCAATGTTAGGATAGTCGCATAGATAAAAGGCTGCTTGCTTCCCAACTGTCAGCCCGTAGTCAGCTATCTGCCGAAATCGCACCGATAAATGTCGTTTCGTGGGCGCTCGGACTACTTTGCTTTAAATCTACTGTCTTAACTGAAGATGTATTTTATGGAATGTCGGCTCTACTCCTACTGACTGCCCGCAAATGAGGACCTTCATCAAGTTAACATTCGTCCAGTGATCTTGGGCTACTGAATAAATGTAAGTAAAGCGGTGCTATGAATCCGAGGGTTTGTTGCTGACTACATCATTTAGGTATTTGGAAGTCGCATGGGTTTCAGATTCTTAAATTGGAACAGGCAGTAGACGTTTTGTGTATGCGACTATGGAAACGCTGAAAGAGTAATTCGGATTACGCTCGATCTTGTGAACATGACTTGACTGCTGCACGGAGCCAGGTGCTGAGGCACAAAAGGATGTTAAAATTTCACTTAAGTTATCCTTCTCTGGGCGAATCCGCCTGTTAGAGTCTTGGTCCATGCTTCTTGAGTTTTGCCACAAACAATATAACCACTTGTCTTGTTAGTATCGCGCTCAAAATCACACCGGCATGTCCAGAAGCTAAACTGTACTGATATCCCATTACTTTTGGTGAAGAAATGAAAAACGATGGCTGTATTTTACTTCGGAGAGCGTTTCAACGGCTTCATAACTTTTTAAAAACTGTAAACCAAGTTTTGCTTTCGTTGTATCGGCACAAAGCTCAAGAAGTGTAGGTATTGGCCTTTCCATGTTTCTTTGTGGAAAACAGATAGCCGTATTGAACCATCTTCCTGTCTAGCCATGAGGACATCCAGGAAAGAGAGCTTGTTGCACTACTCCTTCTCCATTGTGAATTTAATCTTGGGATGGAGACTGTTCATCGCAACAAGTAGGTCTTCGGCTTCATTGTCGTTAGCAACAATAGCAAAAATGTCGTCTACATATCTTTTGTATAGTGTTTTCCTATTCCATTTTTCTGAGAACTTTTCTTCTAGGTGACCCATAAAAATGTCGGCACATTTTGGGGGCACACGGCGGACGTTGACGCACTTATATGAAACGACATATAAAACGAACGATATATTTAGAATATAGCAATAAACACCTAAAAGTTTCAGTCACCGCCTTAGGTAGTTCTAACTGTATCGACTAATACGTGTGCTGTCTTAAGGTAATTCAGAGTCCAAAACATCACAAACCAGTACCCTTTTCGGGATTCCAGCATTGGATGCCCATTTAACACCCTATTCTCGAGTAAAGAATACCGAAGTCCTCAACATCCGCTCCAAGTCTGCTATCCAGTCACTTTTTCACTCGTCAGTAGACTGAAATCAACATAACAATGGCTGCCACATCACTGCGGCGCCCGCTAGGAGAGAGAAAGCCGTGGGCGACACCTGCTCTCGGTAAGGACAGTGCTTGACCGAACCACCCGAGGCGGGCGCATTTTCATGCTTCACCAGTAAGAAGTGCCCTCGGTTGACTGCAAACTTGACTTTACGCAATGAGGTTTGTGAGACGAATCCAAAATACTTTCCCGATCACGAACTGCCCGGTGGGGTATTTGGACCAGAATTTCAAGCAGTAGGAGGGAAGATTTTGCGTCCAACCCATATGCTGATATTTTTGCCCGCTGTTTAACCTCTCAGTGTGAGCATCTACCTTCTAGAGGTGACTGTACATGCTGCGATCAAATTGGAGATCGGACACAGGAGAGGCGATGCAGAAAAGCAATCGGCTAATCTGTAAATATCGTCGATAGAAAGGAGAGGTCAACTAATGTGATGTGAAGTTGTCTAGCAGTGCTTCAGCATTTCTCTTTTTGATTTCCCCTGATAATCCGATCAGTTATATGTAAGATTTCCTTAAAGGAGTGCAATTGAAGGCCGATATCTCCGAAGTGATGTTGGATCCAGATGCGAGGGCTTTTCC